CCCCAAAACCCCAAAACCCCAAAACCCCATTTTCTCTTTCTAATATTGAATATCCAATTAGGAGTCATAGTTAATGATCTTCTGCAGTATCTCAGGAGAGCACAGTGAGCCTACATTATAATTTATTGATAAATAATTGGTATCATCAGAATCCTTTTTCTCAACAATCAACTTGTGATCCTTCGCTTCTGCGAGATAAGAGTTAAGCTGCCTTTGATTGGTAATTCCGATTTCCTCTTCTCAGTCTGTGTATAAATCTCTAAAAGAAATTCCAATATCGTTCTGGTTTTCTAGTTGATACTTGGCAACAGCTTGAATCACATAAATCTGGTCTTTGGTGAGTGACTTCAGTATGTATTCAACTCCAATCTCTTCAAGGTCACTTCTTGTGGAGAATAAATGAGGTGCGTATAATTTCTCAATATCATATTCTTCAAAAGTATCAATCTGGAAGAAGATGGCCATGATATCATTGAGGAATTTTTCATGGAATCCAAGCCCAATTTTCAATCAATCCATCCCAGCAATGAGTCTTATTCTGGGAAGAGTCTTGTCTTCATTTATGATTATGAACAAATTATGGATAAAAGTTTGAAAGCAAGGATCTTTATTCACTAAATGATCAAATCAATGGATTACAAGAAAGATATCTTTCTGATGCCCTCTGAGTTTAGTTAATAATTTTTGAATCTGGGATATTGCTGTACTCTATAAACTTTAAATCTTCGTCTTACTTGCTTTGAAAATTTCTTGTTGGCAATATCAGGATCAAGGTCTACATCCTCCTCATTGACAATCTTAGCTTTCTTGATCCCAAATTCTATCAATTTATCGTTTAAAAATCTTGCAAAATCATTGGAGTAATTAGTCTGAGGGTGATATCCATTAATAATAAATAGGTCATACTCACAAAGTTTGTACTGACAGAATAATTTCAGAATTTTGTGCTTACTGCCGACACCATGAATCAAAACGCTCATTCCCATTTCAAGGTAGCATTTGAGATCGTCAAAATATTTCTCCTTAATCTGCTCAATAATGAATTCATCTGTTCGTGAGGCAGACTATTAGTTAAAACTGATTTGGTCTTACCTCTACTGTATTACTGAACATCTTTTCACATTCTTTCTCAGAATTGGGGTGAATTTCTACTTTGAACTTGCATGATTGAAAATAATTCTAAAGATTTCAAAATCCTATACTTACCGGAAACCACATTTTGTCTGCAAACTCAGGCATTTTTGAAAAATCTCTTCTTGTGCCGGTTTTTCTAAAGGAATTATTTCAGATCCATACCTTGGCTTGGTGGTGCTGATGGTACATTCTTCAAAAACCTTAGAAATTTCTTCTTCTTCGCTATCTTCAAAATATTTCTCAAGCACATCTTCATCAATAGGAGTTGGGGCTTGCTTTTGAAGACTGATTTCTGATTTAGTATCCTGGTTTGGATGGGTATTTTCCATGGCTCCCAATCTTTGGAGGTCCTTTTAGCCACACAATATCTTCAAGGATATCAAATGTCGATTTTACACTTCTAAGTCACATCGCTTGCTTGGAACCTTTAAGGGCATTATTATTGATCCATTTATTTCAATTGTTCTGATTAACAGCGGGGTTTTGGGGTTTTGGGGTTTTGGGGTTTTGGGGTTTTGGGG